AGGCAGCTTAGTGGGGAAAGAGGAGGAGTTAGGGGGAAGGAAGAGAGGGAAGGGTTAGGGGAGAGGAGGAGAGATTAGGTGGGGGAAGGGAGGAGGAGTTAGGGTGAGGAGAGGAGGGAGCGCGAGTTAGGTGGGGAAAGGGAGACGGGAGTTAGGTGGGAGGAGGGAGGAATTAGGTGGGAGAGGGAGGAGGGGTTAGGTGGGAGAGATGAGGGAGTTAGGTGGAAGGAGGGGAGTTAGGGAGAGGAAGAGGAGGTTAGATGGAGAGAGGAGAGGTAGGTGGAGAAGAGGAAGGAGGATAGGTGGGGAGAGGAAGGAGGAGTGAGGGGGGAGAGGGAGTGAGGATGTTATGTGCGGGGAGAGGAGGGAAGGAAGGTTAGGGTTGGTGGGGGAGAGAGGAGGGAGGTTAGGGTGCGGAGAGGGAAGGAGAGGTTAGGTGGGGGAGAGGAGTAGGAGTACGGGAGAGGAGGGGATTAGGGGGAGAGGAGCGGAGAGGTTATGGATGAGGGAGGAGAGTAGGTCGGAGAGGGAGGGAGAGGTTAGGTGGAGATGGAGGAGGAGTTAGGTGGGAAGGAGAGGAGTTGGTGCGAGAGAGGAGGAGGATTAGGGTGAGAAGAGGTAGGAGGTTAAGGGTGGGGGAGAAGGGGATTAGGTGGGAGAGGAGAAGAGTTAGGTGGGGAAGAGGAGAGAGTTAGGGGAGAGAGGGAGAGGTTAGGGAGGGGAGGAGGGAGGAGGGAGTTAGGTGGAAAGGAGGAGATTAGGCTGGCGAAGAGAGGAGGATAGGTGGGAGAGGGAGGTAGTTAGGGGAAAGGAGGCAGGTTAGGGGAGGAGGAGGAGGAGCGTTAGGGTGGGGAGAGAGGAGGGGATATAGGTGGGAGAGGCGAGGGGGGGAGTTAGGGGGGGAGAGGAGGAGGAGGTTAGTGGGAAGGAGGAGGGAGTTAGTGGAAGGAAGGAGGTTAGGGTGGAAGGAGGAGGAGAGGTAGGGGCGGAGAGAGGGAGGAGGTTAGGTGGGGGAAGGGAGGATGGAGGAGTAGGTGGGGATAGGAGGAGGAGGTTAGGCGGGGGAGGAAGAGGTTAGGAAATGGGAGAGGAGAGGAAGTAGTGCAGAGAGGAGGAAGGAGGTTAGGGGTGAGTGAGGGAGAGGTGTATGAGGGGAGTCAGAGAGGAGAGGCGTTTGGAGGGAGGAAAATTATGGGGGAGGAATCATGGAAGGAGGGAGGAGGTTACGTATGGTGAGGAGAAGAGAGGGAGCGTTAATGTAGTGGAGAGGAGGAGAGAGGTTAGGGGTGGAGAGTCAGAGAGGAGCATGAGTAGAACGGAGACGGAGGGGGAGAGGGAGGTTAGGGATGGAGAGGGGAGAAAGGTAGGGTGAGAGTCAAGGAGGAGGCATGGATTAGGAGGACGGGGAGACGGACGGAAAGAGGAAAGGTAGGGAGTGGGAGAGAGGAGAGAGTTAGGGTGGGAGAGTCAGAGAGAGAATAGGTTAGGAGGACCGGGAGCACGAGAGGAGAGTTAGAGGTGGGAGATCAGGAAGGAAGTCGAGAGTTGTTTGGGAAAATAAGAGGAAGCGTATGAGGTTTCGTTCGAGAGGGGAGTGCATTGGGTTAAACGAGTGGTTTATTTAGCAGACATTAAGATTATGTAGTTTATTTACAGACAGAGAGAGAGACCAGACAACAGACAGACAGAAAGAGAGGGAAGAGGTGGTCTATTTGGCAAATCAAAATGGGTTGTTTCATTATCGATAAGATGCGCGGTTTATTTGACAAAACTGATGTTTACTTGTCAAAGAAAGGAGAAAGTTTTATTTGTCAAGGAAAGGAGATGGTTTGTCTGTCAAGGAAAGGAGATGGTTTGAAAAAGAAAAGGTTTCAATATTAAAGTTGGACTGGTGAGTATTACCTTGTGTTATTTTTGTAAGGTATACTATATATCCATCGAGAGAACTGTATTCAGTCTTTAATATCATTCCTCGTGTGTGTTTAATGAATGTTTTATCAATCGAATAAAAGAAAATAAGAAACAGAAGGTACTAACTGTAAAACTAGAAATAAATCATTTATCGAAATAACTATAAACTTTCCTGTCATTTCGTAAAATAAAGGAGAAAAAACACAAAAGGAAACGGTCAGTCATTGTGTAATGTGTAAAAAAAAAAGGCAAAAAATAGAGAGATGAAAAAGATCAAGGTAAAAAAAATGAAAAAATAGACATAACTGTGATAAAACCTGAGGATCAATGTGACCTAGAACTCAACTTCTTTTTTTAATGTTTCCGACATGAAATATTCTTATGTAAAAACTAGACATATATACACACACACCATACATGCATCACACACATTACAAGCGGGAGAAAGACTGAAGGAGAGAGAGAGAGACAGACAGACAGACAGAGAGAGAGAGAGAGAGAAAACCATAGCAACAGAGAAAGATAGAGAGTGAGACAGACAGACAACCAAACAAAAGACAGACACACAGACAACAGCAGCAGACAGACGACAGAGAGGGAGAGAGAAAAAAGAAAGGACAAAGATGAGAAGAACGATTACCTTTCAGATCGAACCACGCCAACCGATCAGGAAGGTCAGGTTGCCCATTTCAGGGATTTTGTTACAGTCGATCTGGAGAAGAAGGATAACCATGATTTAGAAACAGGATAAAGGATGATAATGATAATGAGAAGGATAATAACAGATCGGGAAAGGTTAGGAAACATGATCAAAGAAGGAGGATGAGAGGACTGGATGAAGAAAATAGAGGCTTAACGTAGGATAAATAATTTTGTCTGTAGGTTAAAGTAAAAACGAAAGATGGATAATCACAATCAACAAACATTATTAGAGGATGGAGAGGTTGAGGAGATGGGAGAGACAGGATAATAGTATGTCATTAGGATAAGGTATCATGGAATATAACATAACCTGGGGAAAATTAGGAAATACATCCGTGAACCGTATAGGAGGAAAGAGAGATAGCAATAATAATGGCAAGGAAGAAAGGTAGCGTAAATAATAGATAAAAAAATAATATGAATAGGAAGAGAGGATGCGAAAATGAAGAAACACAAGCAAGAGGTATGATAAAAGAGGGAAGAGGCAGATAAATAATGGGATCTATAAGGCATACGAGATATAAGGACATAGAATGGGATATATATGTGAGCTACGCAAGATATAAGATAAAGAATTATATATGGATATAAGGTATATGAGATATAAGGATAAAGAACGAGACATATAAAGTATATAGGATGCAAGGTAAATGGGATGAAAAAAAAACAATGATAAACTGTACGTAGCATAAGGCAAATAAGACAAAAAATCACTTTGTTGGATTGGGAGGATAGACAGGATAAGGAAAAAGGCTGAGAAGCACATTGGGTGAAAATGTCCGAAAAAAATCCTTAGGAAAAGACAAAAGTAGTGAAGGACACGCTGGCACAACGGTAGCGTTTTGCCCACACAGTTAACCTGTTTTGTTGTTCATAATATTTTGTTTTATACCATGCCTCTGCTGCACTGTTATTATATATTATTATTTAACTATTATCATCTTACCATATTATCCGCATTATCCTATCATATATATATCATTATTATTCATATTTATATTATCATTATTATTATTATTATTGGTGTTGTATTATGAAAGCAGTAGTAGTATTATAGATGTATATTATATTATCATTATTATATCAATCAATCTTTATTAATCATAATATTATATCATATCAGTATATCATTATTTTCATCATCATCATCATCATTCATATATGATATGTTGTGTATTATCATTACAATTTATCGTATAGTGCATATTTACCATCATTGTTATCATATTATTTCTATCGTCATCACATATTGTTACTTTTTTAATCCTATTATTATTCATTATACTATATCATTATTAATTATTATTATCATTACTGATATAATATCATTGACTACTAATTATCAATTATACTATATATCATATCATTATAATATAATATCACTCTTATTCTTTCCTATCATTAGTATGATCATCACTGCTACATTAGTTCCAAGCCCAAGAAAGAAGCTCCCACTTCACCCACCCTCACTCCCCCAACCCACCCCCGCCCAACCCCACCCCCCCTCACCAGCCACTCGGTCCTAGGATGTGAATCGCGCCCATCATGTGGGGGGGTTGATCCGCCCTCCTCTTGGCGCCGTTTGAGCGTCCCCTTCCACCACCCCACGCAGGCCCCACGCAGCCCTCCGGGTCGCCCCGTATTTTCACGCGCGGGATTGCGGCGAATGTGCGTGGTAGGCTCACAGCACGCACACACGACGCTGCAAACACAAACACACTCTCCAGCACCACACATACATGACACCCTCCAGCCCAGTAGAATATATAGAGAATATGATATAATAATAAGTATAATAATAGTATAAACTAGGAGTATAGTATATTAAGTAAGTATTATAAAGAAAGTATATATATACGGCTTCCTGCGCCGGTGCGTGCCAACCAAAGACACCAGAAGAAAACAACGAATTAACTTCAAAGTAACNATATATGTATATATATATATATATATTACGCGTTCCTGCGCCGTGCGTCGCAACAAAGACACCGAGAATAAGAACAACAATTTGAACTTCAAAGACAACAACAGGAGCAAGTTTTTTATGCAGATTGTGAGCAAGTAATTTTTTGTATAGTATTTCTTTCGTATTGGAAGACGAAACAAAAACAAGATTTTCATTTCAAGTTTTTCAGACGTTTTTTTCATTGTTCCGTTTCCACTCACACAAGTAGTTGTTTGATTATGTTATTGATATTTTTTGGATGTCTTATGAGAGTTCATGAAATAAATCATTAATGATAGAACGATGCATTTAATATGTTTACTAAAAGGATTTTATGAGTATGTGTCTGTGCGCGGGCGTGAGTGTGTGTGTGTGTGTGTGTGTTTGTGTGTGTGTGTGTGTGTGTGTGTGTGTGTGTGTGTGTGTGTGTGTGTGTGTGTGT